CTCCTGGGGTGGGCCCTCAGAGGACACTGGAATAGAGTGATGTTGATTCTCAAACCCAGTCTCTCTACAATGCGATGGGAGCAACCCAGCCAGCTTAGCTGCTGCTTCAAACACCACCATTGCTTTAATTCTACAGCTCTGTGAGTTTTTCTCCAACCCTCCCCCTGCTCTCCATAAGCTTTTCTTGGTGAGGCAAGGAAGGAAGAGATGACTCAGAATGAAACACACTACTGTATGTTTTAACACTGCTAACAGGCCCAAAAAATTCACAGATTACCAACTTCTGCGGCCTAGGCAGGGTTCTATACTCCAGGGAGTTAAAGCATCAACGAGAGTTTGGTGCCTGCGAAGCCCCGCTGCACACTGGCCCTCCTATTAGTGTGGCTACAACCTCTCCTTGGGCAACAAAAAGGGGGCCCTGTCTCCTGAGGAGATTCACCTTCACAATAAAGCACAGAGATGGAAAGTAATGCCCATATGTGGCTCTTCACTGATTGTGTTCAAAGACATCACAGTCTAGTCAGAACCAAGAGACCTACAATTCAATCTCCGACGTGGCTACGCCAAGACTCTCAAACCACTGACAACCGATCATTAAAAATACACAGAAAATAGAGAGTACCAATCCCTGAAACAAGTTCTGAGAAAAAAATACTGATTCCAGATGTCTTGTCCTCATTAGAAATTTATTTCCAACAGATTTTATCTTCTCAGGTAAACTCTGCAAACTTCTAGTCACTTGTTTCCATGGCTGAAAGAAGCATAAACTAATATAGTGGGAGGAAAACAATATCTATGTTTTTGGATTAAGTTAGACTCATGCCTTTGGTTTTATAACACTTGCAAAATATCGATTTACATTGTCTAAAGATAACAATTGGTTATTAAGCAGTGGCGAGAATAATGCGCCAAACAAAATGCTGCAGTGAATGGAAGGATGCTACATTCTGAAGTCAAACCAAAAGGTGGAAATCTTGCAGTAAGCGCTTTGCAACAGATAACTGGAGCAGAAACAAAAGAGAACTTCAGAAGCTACATTGCTGATTCAACATCTTAGTAAGGTTCAATTTGGCAAAAATGACTTTGCCTACAAAGCAGGTACTTGCACGACATAAATAGCATAAATCTTTGCAAGGAATTAAAAAAGTATCAAATGCTTTCATTTGCTAATCAAGATGTATAAAATAATGCATTAATAAACTGCAACTGCATATCTAGCAAAGAAACACAATCTTTTGAATTCTAACACCCTCTGAAGACAAAGTAGAGAGTATTGAACCACACAACTATTAAACCTATTAGTTATTGTGCACATGAGGAAAATCCTTTTGGGAACCTGAACAGCAAAATATCAATGAAAAAGTTTTAGGCTTTTTCACATTGTAATTTTACCTGGAGGACTGTAGTTGTTATTTCAGCTGTTTTTATTTAGCCTAAGGAAAATAAATTTGACATCTGGGGGTGGGTGTTTGGCACAGCTGTTAAGACAGCACCTGAGATGCCTGCATCCCATGTCAGAGTGCCTGTGCTGGAGTCAGTACGCCTCTTAGGATTCCAGCTTTTGCCTAATATGTACCCAGAGAAGCAGCCAGGACCAGCTCAAGTATTTCTAGCCCTGCCACCCACATGAAAGACCACGATGGAGTTAAGGGCTCCTGGCTTCGACCTGACCCAGGTCTGGATACTGTGGGCATTTGGGGAGTCAATTAGTCAACAGACTATTTCTGTCTGTTTCTGCCTTTCAAATAGCAAACTTTTTCAAAAGAGAAGAAAGGAAAAATCTGCACAGCAACAGACTTAAAGATGCCTCATGTTAGCCTTACGCAATAGAGATGGAAGTGGTAAACTAAGAGTTGGAAAGATTGTGCTACACCAACTGGCTAGAATATTATGTAGAAATAAAAACGGATACTGTCTCAGTCTGTCTTGTGCTACTATTACAAAATGCTTCAGACCAGCCATTCGTAAAGAACATATTTATTTCGTACAGGCTAGGTGGCTATGAAACCCAAAGTCAAGTGACTAGAAGTTGTTGAAGGACTTCTTCATCTCATGACAGAAGACAAGAGGACAAGAGAGTTCAAGAACAGAGAGCAAGAGAAGGCTAAACTCACAATAACACATTCCTGCACTAATGCTATCAATTATGATTAGCCCCATCTTGTCAGGCCATACTTCCCAACACTATGGCAATGCAGATGTCTCCTATACAGGAGCTTGGGGAGTATATATAAAGTCTATGTGCACATTTTGAAAATGTATTTATAATTGCTATGAGCATAAGGCAGGTTATTAAACCATATGCTATGGTCTGAATGCATCCTCCAAAACTCATGCCGAAACTTTATCTTCAGTGTCATAGTATTAAGAAATGAAAATGGAAGTGATTAAGACACAAAGCAGTTGCCTGCCTCTTTTGCTCTTTTTCTTGTCCACCATATGAGGAAAATTTTCAATTTCCATCTTGGAAATTAAGTCCTTATTAGACATCAATCTGCAGGCCCCTGCACCTTGATCTTCCAAGCATCTAGGAGAAAATAAATCTCGGTTCTTGATACATTATTCAGTGTAGGTATTTGTTACAATGGCACAAACAGCCTACGACATTATTCTAGATTAAAAGACAATGTTTATGTCTATGTTGTTGGACAGACTGGTGAGAGAAGATGCAAAGCTAGTTTTCAGAATAAGAAATTTCCTGAAGTTTTCTTTAACTATCTTTTGATCTTGTTTATACTGTTAAAAGCAAAAATATATATATATATTAAAAAAAACAGTCCCATGCTCTTTTGTGATTCAATGGCAATGAAAATTATGAGCTTAAGTTGGATGGCAGAAGACAGATATAAAAGTTGATCAGAACACTTGTAGTGCCCAAAAGAATCAGCAGTGAAGAAATCTGATTAAAGAAATGATGCAAGGCAAAATGCTGTGAGAAGATTTTAATAATTCATCCTGAATTCTTTTGCTACTAATCTCATATTCATTGCTGTTTGTATCCTTGGCATCTGATTCAGGCTGGCATTAAAGCTGCTACACATTAATGCTAATTAAATCTGCCTTTTCATACTGAAAAACCACCTTGTTTCCTTGAACATCAAACATGTGATATAATTCCACACGTTAAAAATCATTTTAAATCCTGCAGTTTTGCACAATAAAATCAGAAAAGGCAAAGATTTGTTTATCTAATGCTGACAATTTCTCATCTTGATTTTAAAAGTTAGTGATAAAAAAAAAGCAAATATAACCTGATCACACTGTGAATTTCTGCCCTCTGTCAGACCCTGAAGGTAGACCTGCATCTTTATGCTTGTGCAGGTGTAGAGCTGCTTGGCGTCCTCTCTAGCTGTCAGAATTAGAACTACTAAAGGGTTATTTTAGGAACAACCTTCTGCAGGATTCTGGATGCTGATATAAATTAGCACCCATTTTATCATCATGGAAAATCTAAGTATAGCATTCAATGAAAAATTAAACATTATGTCAAGCCCTCATTCTATTCTGCATAATAAAAAAATAAAACTACACTTTTCACAAGGTTTTACCCTTAAATTTAGCATCTGCTATTTGTGGTTATATTTTAGTAAATTTCTCCTGAAATGAACTGAATAAAGCTGTATTTATTTTGTCTTTAAAAAGAAAAAAAAAACTATTCCAAAGATCTAGTGTTACTTGTGATTCCGACACAACCCACCCAAAATAGAGAAATTATGCAAGAACTGCAGAAAGTTGATCTGTTTCTATTTTAGAATAACTGTCAAATTCTAAGAATTCTTAACAGAATATAGCTAAGAATAATTTGGATAATGGGGTCACAGTCTCTAGGGATAAGACAACTTTAATTATATTGATTGATCTCATTAGCATTATTGCCTGCATGAAGCTTTAATTGCATTAGATGTGGAAGTAAGGCCATGTGGTTGTAAGTTCAAAGTCTAACAGGTCTTGTCGGTTGTTCCCATGGATCCAATCAAGGCAATGGCATTTTGTTGAGGCCACGTTACACACAGCATGCACGCTCCCGCCTGAGGCCATTCGCATTGCTACCCACTACATTCAAGAGACAGTCCTCTGAGACATTTGTGTGACTCAGTCCTTCACGTCAGGGAGGACTCAATAGCGCTGCTCTCTTGGGAGGTACACCACTTTCTCATATACCGATACATTTTATTTTTCTGACTTCCTATGTTTATTCCACCTAAAACATTGCATATTTTTGTTTATTTTATCAATGGAGACTTTATTCTTTCAGTGGTGTGATCTTGTCAATTTGAACAGTATTGGAATGTAATTGGTACTCCATGAATGTTTATTGACTGAGTGAATGAGGAAATAAATGATAAGAGAATGAGTAAACACAATTTTATCAGAAGTAAATAAGTTATAAAATAATATTTGACTCAAACAGTTGTAGACTATATTTTCAATTAAGCTCTTACTCGGTTTAGAGTGGATCACAAAATATATACCAGGTAAAATAAAGTGGGGCTAGCACTGAGGTATATGAAGGAAGGCCACTGTTGGAGGCACCAGCATCCCAGACTGCTTCTCCAATTCCATTTCCCCTCCGTGCTATTACACCAGGAAAAGTTGCTGAAGGTGACTGAAACCCCAGGGCCTCTGAACTCTCACAGGAAACCTAAAAGAAGCTCCTGCATCCTGGCTTCAGACAGACTCATCGTGGCCATGTGGGGAATGAACGGAGATGGAAGCGTTCTCTCTCTCTCCCTTTCTCTCCAATGTTGACTTTCAAATAAATAAATAAATAAATAATTCACAGTGATATAAATGTGGGATTGTACTTATTTCTATAAATTAGTGGTCCCTGAAAATACAAGAACTAAAACCAGAAAACATCTAAAACGTTATTGCAAAGACATCTGAACCCATTAAATGTTTCTAGCTTTGACTTCATGGAGTCAGAAATGTGAAGAAAAGTCCCTCCAGGCAACGCAGCATATCCAAGTAGCCAGGAGGGTGGGAAAGCAACCACATACCGATGCACGCCGCTGCTGCACATGATGACGTGGCAGGCTCCTAGCCTGTCGCACAGCTCCGAGGACACGGAGAGCAGGCCAACGCCGGAAGCGCTGCAGGCTGTATTCGCACAGGCAGCTGTGCGCTTGGATCTGATGAACGAGGCTACCAGTCGATAAAGCTCATCCAAAGCGTTGAGAGGCCTCATCAGCTGCAGGAAAAAAACAAATGGTACACATCCAGTGCAACATGTTTGGTAGAAATCCTTTCAGTGGGATACAACTCACACCTGTTACAGCCTTTGAATGAACCATCTGAAATATTTTGTTATAGATGTAAAATAATCAGTATCTACAAATTTGGATAATTATGTGCTGCTCAAAAATAACAGAGGCAAGATTCAAAAAGAGAGGCACGTAAATAAAAATGCACCAGTAAACATCACTATCTTATTTTTTACCTTATCTACATAGGCAGCTTTGGATGTGGAGTTTGACGGTGAATTTGATTTGTCCAGATAGAAGGCCCTGTAAAAAAGAATCCATAGAAGTTATCAATTTTTGTTAGAAAAAGAAAAACTTAAAATGCAGGAAGACATCCCAATTTTACTCACTTACTTTTATAGACCAGTGAATAAACAAAAGCATTGAGTGTTACAAGGGCTGAGGCTGCACAAAAATCAAATGTATTCTTTTATAAAAAAGGTTAAACATCCAGCTATACTGCATATTTTAAAGCTTTAAAGAATCACTCATCTGTGTCCATTTTTGTTGTAGGTAATTTAACTCCTATCTCATAAAGCTATCAAGAGAAAATCAGTGCAGATAAAATACCTAGAAACATATATAGCAGAGATGAAGTGCTTAATACTTGTAAAAATATTTTAAAAATCAGAATACATTTTCTTGAAATTATTGGAGAAAACTATACAGTTGCAACTACTTTAAGATATAAGCTTATTAAGCTAATGCTCAGACTAATTTAATACTTATTTTATTATTTTTTCTTTTTTCCATTTAAAAAAATTTTTCTATGATGGAATTCCTCCCCCCATTTCACCACCCTTTTTTTCCCTACCCCACTGATTTCCCCTACATTATTGCAATACTATAGTCCTTCAACAATAGATAGTCAATATTAAAAAATTATTCACATATTTATTTGAAAGATAAAGCATAAGGGATGCAAACTGCACTGTATCTTCACATCTGAATATAATAATCTCTACTACACCTTCACTACACATTTCCTTAAAGCAGAAGTCATGAAACAAAGTCAACAGGTATGACGTTGAAACAAAAGTTTACAACACCATGGAGTCGAAAAATGTACCACTGAGGAACCAACACATGGGTGAACAGAAAACACAAAAGCCTTTTGGGTAAAAGGATGCTACTGTGCAATCCTTGATCCAGTGATGAATTCAACAAGAAAAAAGAAACTATTTGGAAGAAATGAAAATGAAAACAAAACACGTGGAATGCAGCAAAAATAGTATGGAAAGGGTTATTGATCTTACAATTTGCATGAAGGCTGCCTTACATCAGAGAGAACATACAGTATTTGTCTTTTTGGGATTGACTTATTTCGCTGAGCACAATGATCTCTAGAACAGTGTAGTATGCATTTGTACTTCAAATCAAAGATGGATTCCCAATGAAACTGATGGACATATCTAAACAATGGGATGATAGACTGTCTGACATTGTCTGTACCGGCAACGTTGGGGCACAATTAAATAACAGATAGATGGATTTATGACTGCTTACTAAGAACTATACTATTATAACAATATGGAAAAATCAGTCAAGGGGTGGGAACTTGGGAGGCTGGGGAAATTCCAGGCCCTATGGAATTGTACCATAAAATTCAAAATAAAAAAAAAATAAAAAAAGATAAAGTATAAGAGATGGAGGGGAAAGGAAAGAAAGAATCTGTCTGCTAGTTTACTCCCAAAATGGAGAGGACACTCAGTTGGGCCTGGTCAAAGGCAGAAACCAGAACTCTATCCAGGTGTCCCAAATGTACGGTATGAACTAAGTCTTTGGATTATGCTCCAATGCCTTCCCAGACGTATTAGATAGGGGTGAGCTGGACTGTAGGTGGAGCAGCTGAAACTCAAACCTACAATCCTATGTGGATATCTACATCACACAATGGCCCCAAGGGCTTCATTTTCTCAAACAGCCCAGTAGTGATGATTAAATTAGTGCATGTGGCATGCTAGGAACTGTGCTAAGCAAACAGGACTCGACAAGCAATAGTGACTATTGTTGGAGTGTACACAGAGGAAAGCATCTATTGGAAAATTCTTAGAAATACAGAAGAATAAAAAAATAAAATTGAAGAATTGTATAACATACCTATGTCCTAATGAAATTTAGAGCAGGGGATATGGTTACTTTGATACTCCTATTTAACAAAAATAGCAAAAATATTCAAAGTCTACTGATTGCTAAAGCAAGAATTTGAATTTGAGGCTACAACTAATTTAAGGTGTGGTTCATCAGAAAAAAAAACAAGCTGCTCAGCCAGATATTTTATTAGCCATAAGTTTATCAGTATTCACAGAAATTCACTGTTTTTTTTTAAGAAAATGACAAACTGTGGACAGGAAATAAATTTCTAATGCACTATCCTTAATTACAAAAGTCTTACAATGCTCCTTAATCACATTTATGGGAAAAGCTAATGGAAAAATTGGGTTAAAGCCAAAACTGACGGTAGTTTATTATGTTTCTGAGATGAGTGAGAATGAAGTCATGGTCTTCTGTTTGAAATCACAGTCATTTCCAAAGTGCTGCTGCTGTTTATGTGAGGCTGGACACTGGCTTTCCTTTCATGCTGGCACACAGCAGCTTCAGTGTCAAATCTTTGTAAATGAACTTCACCATGCAAAATACATATGTCATGGTCCACTTTTCATTTTCATTTTTCCTATATGAGAGAGGTGATACTACCATAACTTAAAACAAACCAAATGATGATAGTGAAATTAATCTTGGAATTTACTGTATACTAATTAATAATAAGGATAAATGCACATGTATGAATAATCAGAGACATAAAGTAACACGTAACTTAAAAGATGTAAAGAGTTGCTGATTGCTGAATAGGAATTCATATAAGAATATGGCATGTGGGCTGGCATGATGGCTCAGTCGGTTAATGCTCTGCCTACAAATGCCAACATCCCATATGGGTGCTTGTCACATCCTGACTGCTCCACTTCTCATCCAGCCCCCTGCTCATTGCCTGGAAGAGCAGTATGGCCCAAATCTTTGGAATCATGCACTTTGGTGGGTGATCCAGAAGAAGCACCTGGCTCCTGGCTTTGAATAAGCTCTGTCTCTCCTTCTCTTTATAGATCTGCCTTTCCAATAAAAACAAATGGAACATTTAAAAAAAAAACAGAATATGGCATAAACGCTGAACTTGGATGGATTGATGGGTGGGTGAGAAACTGGACAGAGTGCAGATAGTTGAAAATGATAAAACGACATTAAAGAAGAAGCAATCTGCTAATAAACGAGTAGGCACAGGAGGGATGAAACCAATTTGATTGAAGAGTATGAGATAAAGAATGTTGGTCAGATAGGCTGCATCGGCATTGTGATGAAATTAAATGCTACTTTAAACATTAACTTCTTAAACTGTAAAAAGAAATGTTGCAAACCAAGACTTAGATATCAATTAAATAGCCTTAAATGAGTGGGGAAGATAGGTGACCCCTAACTCAAGAATATTTAGGGCATTCAGAATTGAAAAAGACATAAAAATAGAAAGCATCCTATAAAATTTATGTTAAAACTATGATAATATCAGTAAGAGACTGCTGTTTATGATAGGAGAAAGAAAGCAATTTTGGGAAACATCAAGATTGGTTTATATAGAGCAAGATAAGCTATTATGCTAATTCAAAAATTAGGAAAATGCCTCTTAAAATGCAGAAATAATGGGTTTTCCTAGCTCAATTGATCTGGTTGTAGAGCCAATGAAGACTAGATTTTCAGTTAAGTTTTTGCAACAATCCCATTTCAAGTGCTGGAAGCAGATCATTTTGACATGGAATGCTAAATCTATGAAAAAAAGTGGTATTTCATTCATTCCTATTTTTCCATTACAGTTTCTAGGCATTTTGGAAGATTCCCCAATTCTGAAAGGCATAGGAGCTTCCAGTGTTTTGTAAATAGATCAGCCCAGATATCTGCTACATTCTTGCTTGTTCTCCAGCTCTTTGCTTATGAGATCATCCATAGTCATTTGCAGAAATGTCTCATCTAAACAGACACTTAAACACTCCAAATATTGTGTCCTTTCCCAAAAATAATCTGAATTGTACCCAATTGCTTTTGTACATTCTAGAAGTATTTTGCATTTTAGCAGTTACTCTGCATTTCAAAAAGGAAAGGTAACAGCATCTAGACAATCATGAATATTGTTCCTAGACATGATTAAATATGTCATCATTGCCATAATATAGCAGCTGATCTCAGATTGTGACTGATATTGCATGAGTATTTGTTACAACTGTACTGACTACCAAACCAGTCAAATTAGGCTGAGAAGTATCATTATGTTCCTCAATCAGTGTTAAGCAATAGTTGAAATCAGTTCATTTTTTATAAGTAAAATACTATATAAATAAAGTAGGAAAAATCTATAAAATTTTTCATAAGAAGATTCTGGTGCTTTGAATAAATGAATATAGGCAGATGGTTTCAATCTGTGGTCACGTGTATTTGAAGAATCTGAAAGGGAAGGCAGGCAAAAGCTAATTTGTACCTCCAACTCATCTATCCTTACATTCACATTAGTCCTCAGTTTTCTGGAATACATTTTACATAACATTACATGAAGATTATTTGAGATAATCTTGAATATCTCTGGATGTATTTGGTCAACCCAAGGTTATAGTTGTCTTACCAATGAACAACTTCATTTCTACTTGAGTTTTGGGGTATGATAACCTCTGAGACCAAAAAGAACAAGATTTTCTCATGTAAGTAAAAACATTTCTCTTTTAATAAATGTCCTCTCTGATTGATCATGCCGTCATTGGTAGAAAAGACAAACATTATTATTCTCTACCATCGTAGATAACCTCATTTCTTTTCCTCTTTAAGGACCTTCAGTGATATGATAGGATTACAATCCTGTTCCCTGTTTTCTAAATGATCTTACACTCCACTTTCACATCTCATTGTTTGAATCGTCTGGGGTATTAATGTGATAATCCTTTTTATGAGCCTGAAATTTCATTCACAGTGTCATGGATGTCATCATCCATTAAACACAGCATCTAAGTCTGTATTCCAATGGCGATACAGAAATAATCTGTGGAAATGTACAGGAAAAGGATCAAATCCTTTAGAGACAGCCTTTCCAAATAATTAACTATACAACATAAAACATATTTTAATACACTCAGAAAAAAACATTAAACTCAAGCAGAACTTCTACTCTTCAATTAATTACTATAATTATGTGTCAATACAGTTTGCAATTTTCATATCAAAGAAAAAGT